GTCCAAGATTGTCCTCCTTAAATTCTGTTGGGTTCAGTTTCTCCTTCCAGAGTTCTTCAATGAGATAGGTGATCCACTGATTTTGCTGAGCACCATCAGAGACAGCATTCATTTCTGCTTCAGTTGATGAGAGAGTGATATTCTTCTGCTTCTTACAAATGGTGCAACAGATACGAGATATTTATCTGTATTGGATTGTATCGTCTTTATTTTGAGCCTGATACAGGTATCAGAATTTTTTTGGTTGGTGAAAAAATCCATTGTCTTGGATTTGGATTTACAAATGAAAAAAAATGTCTACGTTTTTTTTGTTTTTTCTTCAATACGGCCAAATATCTTGTGTATCCAATACGTTTTTGGTAAGATCAGTCATCTGAGGCGATACTGAAAACTTGTCTCACTTTCCAAAGACGATACATGTGTATTGTCTCAGGAAAGTGAGACAACACAAATCCAGTATTTTTGGGTATTCAAATTCTGAGACAATACAAATAAACACCTGATACCATATTGTATTGTATCTGTTGCACCGTTGTTCTTACTGTTCCAGGATATGGGGCATGACTTCCAGAAACAGACGGTTCTGCTTTGAGATAGTCAAGTTTCAAGGTCATCTGCCCAAGTGGCATCAGTAAATTATTCAACAGATTGTGATTGATCAGATGAATTGGGAGTCAAATTCAGCTTGAGCTCAGAGGTTCTGCTGAGATATTCCCAGCAGTGGATCACTTCTTTCCAGTAAGTGATTCCTGGAGCGTGATTAAAACTCGACAAGATTGAGACAGCTGGGGCGAGGTTGGGTCTTGTTTGACATGCTAAGAAATTCAGAATGCCAGTGAAGGACCAATAATTGATGTCAATTTTTTCAAATTCTTTACATCCGTCTTCTGTGTCCGGTGTGGTATACCTTAAGGCAACGGTGCCACAGATACGAGACATGTATTCGTATCGGATCGTATCGTATTTATTTTGAGCCCGATACCGGTATCAGTATTTCCTTGGTTGGTGAAAAAATACATTAGGGGGTATCAAATATAACCAAATCCACCATTATTTAATTGACTGGTTTGAAAAAATCCACCCTTTTTTAAACATGTTGGTTCTTCATTTAACCCCTTTTGGGGCCCATTGATGCAAAAAAATATTTTTAAAAAAGTGACTGGTTTCTAATGGTGGATTTCCTATATTTGATACCCCCTATTGTATCGGATTTGGATTTAAAAATGAAAAGAAAAAAAAATTGTCTTCGTTTTTTTCGTTTTTTCTTCAATACGGCCAAATATCTTATGTATCAAATACGGTTTTGGTGGGATCAGTCATCTGAGACGATACAGAATACATTTCTCACTTTTCAAATACGATACATGTATATGTCTCAGGAAAGTGAGACAACACAACTCCGGTATTTTTGGGTATTCAAATTCTGAGACGATACAGATAAACGCCTGATACCGTATCGTATTGTCTCTGTGGCACCGTTGCTTAAGGGTAGCCATCTGGCCCATTTAAAAATTTTACAGTTTTTTCTTTTATTACAAATTACATACTTTTTACACCTTTTTTCTCATATATACACTCACAAATCACCCAATATGGTTCAAGAACTGGATTCTACAGTCAATTTCACCCTTGGTCACCACTGGAGGCGTCACTGGAACTCAACTGGATTGGAAGCTACACCCTCTGGACCATCTCTACACTCAATTACACAACTCAACACTATGTCAACACTGTGTCAACACTTCAACACTCAGCAACCTCAACAAATTACATAATTCACACTACACACATGCACGTTGCAGGACAACTACATACTCACATCATTATAATACAGGTATACACAACTACACTATCTTCTGACACTTGACATATGTAGCTTCTAGGCTGGTCCTGTTGCTATGTCACTTGTTAATCTTCCTTGCAGCTGGCAGTCTATCTCACACCACTCATGTAATATTCATCACCTCACCTTAGCTTGCAGACTAGCACATCACCTCATGTAAAATGCTTCACCAGCATAAAACCCTCATGTAGACTTCTAGTTCAAGCTAAAATAACCCTTATGACATCATGTAGGTTGCTCAACCAGCCAAAATACCTCATGTACATGTTCTGACTAGCTAAATCCCCTCATTTTAAAGCTCTGGCCAGCTAAAATCTCTCATTCTCTTGTTCCCCTGAAGCTAAAATCCCTCACCTTTGTGTATTTAAGAGGCTCTCCTCTCAGTGTTTTCCCCTCAGTTTAGTATCCACCTATTTCATACCCCCTACCCTTACAAACCCTTACAAACCCTTACATACCATCCCCTTACCATTGAAATATCAGCTAGACTCACTCTCTCACTCTCAAATCAACCTTTTAGACCCTTATAAAACTGGGTTAAGCCCTTTGTCCACCTGTTAAGCCACAGTTATCTTTTGATACACTCCACTATCACTTTATTAAACCTTCCAATCTGAGATTGGTGGGCTTGTCTAGTGTCTAGTGATCCAGGAAAGGCAGAGGTATCCTCATTCATCCCTTTCCACACTCAGCAAAAGGTTTTCACAAACACTTTTGAGCTTTACACTGGCTTCAGTTGGACTCCCACAGAGTGTGGAGTTTTTACCAATCTGCAGTTGACAAGATTGAGCATTTCAATCCCTTTTTGAATTAGCTCGGGTTAGGACAGCTTGATGGAATCCGTTTCGATCTTGACTTCCATGCCAAGGAGAGAGTCTGGATTGTGAGTGGTGGAATTTGGAAATTGATTCATGAAAAGAGCTTCAAATTCTTCAATGTGTCTGAAAACTATGAGGTTGTTCACATGAAAGAAAATGTACAATGTTTCATCATTATGGATGTAAAGACACGGATCTGTGGTGGACTGATGAAAGTTGATCAAAACAAACCATTTTGTCAGAGTCTCGTACCAATTTGATGGTGCTTGCTTGAGGCCATATAATGATTTGTTGATACAGAGCCTTCCGCTTTGATCCTTCAGGGGTTTTGATGTAGACGTCTTCTTTGAGAGGTGTGTACAAGAATGCACTCTTCACATTGAATTGTCTGAGGCAGAGTTTCTTGTTGATGGCAAACATGAGAAGTACCAACAAAGTGGTGAATTTGACGGTGGGAGCAAAGGTGATTCCACAGTCTTTGGGTAGTTGCGCAAAACCTTGAATACATAGTCAAGCTTTCTTCCGTTCTTCAGAGGACAGAGTAGCCAGTTTTGTTTTGAAAATCCAGAGAGTGTGTAGATAAAATTCAGGTTTCTTCCACATATCTTTCCACACCTTATGACCTTTGATGTTATTGAGTTCTTCATTGGTTGCTTCTCCCCATTTGTCACCTTCTGCCGATTCCATTGCCTTTTTGAAGGATGCTGGGTTGGTTGTCAGATGAGAATATTTTTGAGGCTTGACTTTAGATGTTTGGTCTCAAAGAACTCTTCCAACATTGCTGTTTGGAATGAGTCCATCAGCTATGTCTTCATCACTCTTTTCTGATGAGTCAGAGCTGGATTCATTTTCCAAAGATGAGTTGTCACTAGAGTCGATTTCAATTGTTTGAGGTATTACAGCATCTTCAATTGGCAATTCTTCATCATCAATATCAACAACTTCAGCTTGTTCTTGATCCATTTCTTCTTCAACCAGTTCATGAATTTCATCTTCATCCAGAGAGTTGGCTGATTTCATTTGATCTAGGAATCAGACACTCTTTGTCTCGATAATCTTTCCTGAATTGTTGAGAATTTTATATGATTGCAATTTGTTGTTGTAACCAATTAGAGTACCAAGTTCTCCCTTAGGAAGAAGTTTTGACGAAGATTTTTGAGGAAGAATGAGATAAGATACCCTGTTACCAATAGGATAGAAAAAATCAATTGGGATGGTTTGTCCTTTAAACAGTTCAAAGGGTGACTTCTTACTCTTATGTGAGGGGATTTGATTGACATTTAAGGCACTGACTTTGATTACATCGCACCAATATTGAAGTGGTAGTCTTGAGTCTTTGAGTATTGTTCTCAGTGATTCTAGGATGGTTTGATTATGCCATTCTGCAAGACCATTTTGCTGAGGTGTGTAGGGATCCGAGTTTCTTTGTTGAATGAGATGTTCTTTGCAGAATTCTTTCATTGAACAATTTGGAAATTTGGTACCTCTGTCTGGATGAATAACTGTCGGATAGTATCTAATCTGTTTTGCCTCCAGATTAATAACATTGGACAAGACCTCAGCTACTTCAATTTTAGCTTTGATTGGAATAGCTGAACAGTATTGTGTCTGACTATCAACAACAGTTAAGACGTATTGGTGACTTTCTCTGGAGCTAGGAGAAATAGGGTCAATCAAATCTAGATGTATTTCTTCAAAGGGTTTTGAGGCAGGAGGATGCTTGGCTTTGAAACTTGCTTTTGTGATTTTTGAAATTGAGCATGCTTCACAGTATTTTTCTGGTTTCAGAGGAATTCCCAGTTTGTGTCTTAGTTGGTGGTAACTCACATGACCAAGAGACTTATGAAGCTTTTCAGCTGATGAGAATTGTGAACAATGATGCACATTGATGAAAGAAAGACTAGGTAGATTTCAAATATAAACTCCATTCATTTAAATTTTTCCATATTTAAAGATAGAAAACGAGTTTTTTGAGAACTCTACACCATAATTATCTAACACTAGACATCTGACTGGAAGGAGATTAACAACTAATTTGGGAACATAGAGAACATCATTCAAAATTGTGGATCCATGTTCATTTATCAACTTGATTGGTCCAATCCCCTTGATGGCCAGAGAATCTTTCCAGAGATAGTTTTCACTGATCCTTTTTCTGTACAATTGATGGCAAAAAAGAGTTCAGAGTTTGAGACCATGTGAGCGGACAATCCTGAATCAAGAATAAATTGAGATGAGTGAGAGAATGATGTGTGAAAGCTGCTGACTGTTGATTCTGATTGGTTTGCTTTGACACCGTTGGCTGGTCAAAGGTGAGGATATAACATCCAGCACAAGGATTAAGGATGATTGAAGAGGAAATTGTGAGCCATTATCTTGCATTTCTTGGAGAAATTGGAATAAAGAGCCACAACTTCAGTTTTTGATCCAGTGTTTCTAGCAGCAATGGGTTCATGATTTTTATTGAACAACTTGAGATGATCTAAAACTAGATTGCTGGTGAGAGGTTTGTAAGAATGGGTAATTTGCTGACTGAAGTTCTTCAAGGAAGGATGAAGTTTCTTGAGAAGAATGTAAGTGACTAAATCGTGAGGTAAATCAATACCAATTTTGAAAAGTTGAGAGTTGATTGTTCCAACCAAAGTGATGAAGGGTTGAACATTGTTGGAGTTGAAGGACAAGTCTAGTAATTCATTGAAAACTCGGGCACAATTAGTGGGTTGAGTAGAGGCAAAAAAATCAGATATGGAAGACCATATCTTTTGAGCATCCTTTTCGTTATCGTGATTGATGATGTTGGGGTGAATGGATGAATCTAGCTTCAAAGTGATAATTGTTTGAAGATTGATGTCTTCGCTACTTGTTAGAGTACCTTTCTCTGATGTCAGAGAATCCCGAAGTCCTTGCAAATCAAGCATGTTGTCAGTGCAATTTTGCCAAAGGGTGTAGTTGTTGGCCGTGAGGAGAGGGATAGCCTTGAGAGCTGTTTTGAGGATGGTAGAGTTGATTTTTTCCATGTCTGAGTTCTTGATGTCTGTGTTTTGGATGTTTTTCGGAGTTTCTTTTGGATTGTTTATGAGGTTGATGGGTGGTTATTTTCGGTTTCAACTGTTAATTGTGATGAAAAACAGGATTTATTATCGTATCTAGAACCAACAATGAGACTGATCCAATCCCCGGATTGGTATTTATCGGGTATTGGATTGAAAATGGACCCAATACCGGGTATCAGTATTGGATTGATCTTCAATCCAATCCCAATTTATTCGACATATGGGATTGGGTGAAGCAATCCAATACCGATACCCGGTATTGGGTCCATTTTTGACCCAATCCGGGGATCGGATCAGTCACACTTTGGATGATACCAAAGTGTGAGGCACATGGCCTGCAGCCTTTGGGTGTCGGATTGGGATCGAAATGTGATACCTATCCTGATCCAATCCCTTATTTTTTGATACCTGGTATTGAAAAATCAATCGGATCCGATACATCGGCCGATACCGTCGTAAGACTCAAAAGTGGTTGTGAAACCCTTTTGCTGAATTGAGAAGGGGAAAAATGGAGGTGCAAACTCTGCCCTTCTAGACTATCAGAAACAAGACCCTCAAGCTTAGCTTGGAAAGTTTTAATAACGTGATAGGGTTGGTCGGTTCCAGTAAAAACTTTTTTTGATGAAAGGTAAAGGTTGAATATATAATTGCTTATAAAAGAAACTGTTATGTTGTGTAACAGGTGAAAGGTTTATATAATTTGTTTGTAACTGGTGAGTTATATATTGATTGACTGCTGAGTGATGAACTGAGTCAATGAGTAGATGAGTGAATGAGTGGATTAGTGCACTGGAATGAATGAGTCAACAAATGGGGAGAAGAGAGCCTCCTTTTATAGACAAATGTGAGGGAATTTAGCTCCAGGGCAGACAAGAAAGAGTGATTTTAGATGGCCTGTAGGTACAAATGAGTGAATTTAGCTAGTCTGATCATGCAAGTGAGGGAAATTAACCAGTGAGGCTCTGTACAATTAATGTCAAAGGCTGTGCTGCAGTGCATAAATAATGTGAGAAAGTGTCAAATGAGGCAATAAATTGTGGGAAAAATTCAGCTGTTGTCATAATTGAGGTGAGAAAATTAATAAACTGTGGGAAAAGTAATTCAATCAAGACTGCGCAGCCTGCAAAGGCAGTGCATGAGGTGACAAATGGAACCAAACTAATATATGCGGTGGAGATAAAGGGGTGTGGGAAATTATGTGTATACCGTGAGCTGTGTATAAGCATAACTGAGAGGTGATTTGAGGGTTGTGACATATGCTTGACTGGGTATTGGCTTTGTGATATGTGTCCGTAGAGGTGTAACTTTGAATCCGTGAGGGTTCCAAGGATGCTTCCAGTGGTGGCCTAGGATGAAATTGTCCGTAGAGTCCATTTCTGAATTCGTGTAGGTTGATTTCTGAGTGAATGTATGAGAAAAATGTGTATAAAGAAAAAACTTTGAATTTTTTACATATTTAATTACCACACCGTATTGGATTGGATTGGTTTCACCGTTGCTAGAACCAAAACTAAAACAAGCAAGAGTTAGAATGAAAAAAATAAGAAAAAGAGAGAAATGTTGAGCATACCATGACAAGAGTTGTATTTTATAGGAAGAAGAACTGTGAGACTGAGGTACAATAGAGACAAGTAGTAGGAACTGATAAGAAGGAAAGAAAAAAGGTCAATAATCATCTGAGATCAAGAGTGAAAGATTGAGAGAGAATGATTCAATTGGATTATTCTTTCTCACCAAATTGGCAATAGCCACATGGGAATATTGAGAGAAAGAGTCAGAGCAAAGAGAAGGGAAGAAGTGCAATCACTGTAGAGATTGAGACGTCATCAAGATCAATATGATTGATTGATAAGAGCAAATAGAGAGAGGAAGTATAGAAGGAAAGAGGAGATGATACAGAGTTGGAATGGGAAATATAGGAGAGGAATGGTGAAGGAGTTTATGGGAGTAGATCGGCGGAGTTGATAAAGTTGAGCAGTGAAAGGAGTCGGTCAAGTGTCTTGAGTCAAGAGGCAAAGGACTGCTAAGGGAAGAGTTGCTGGATTGATTGGATCAAGCCTTTTTATATTGTTTAGAGTGGAGGGCTGAGGTGTAGTTTCTTGAGATGATACATGTCGGAGGCTGGGTTGTTGTAGGAACCTGTGAGGATGAGTTGTTGTGGGTACAAGAGGCGGTGTGAGGCGGTGTATTTGATGGATGTGGAAACAGATAGAGAGAGAGAAGAAAAGAGAGAAAATAGGGACACGGGAGTAAGGAGCGGGGAGAATTCCAACAGAAGGAACCCCTCCCAGCCTCAAGAGTGAAAAGTGGGAGGAATTCCCCCAAGCCTCAAGGGCCATTGTTTTTTCTTGAAACAACTTAAGTGGAATGGGCTATCTCATTGGACTCAGGGCTGGGTCCTGTGGGATATCCCAGGGGGTAAACTGTATACAATACATATGAGTTTAGCCCCCTGAAGATTGGCTTGCAGCAAAAATAAGTGAGAAAGAGAGAGAAATTACCGCCAGTGCCTGCCAAAATTACCCAACCATACCCGCTAGCTGGTGCCAGGTGCGGTTCTTGGTACCTATTTTCTTGTAAAAGTGAACAGAAACCTAGGTACCAACAGGTACACAAGTACAAACAAAAAATCCCTAATTCTGTCAAAAAGTCTAAAATCTTGTCAACAAAGACCTTAAAATTGGCTATAAAAATCTTATTAATTTCCATTGTGAACGAATGGTGTAACCCCCACACTACACTAAAAAACGTGCCCTTATAGCACAATGTAGTGGCTGTACCACTACCCAAACACAACCAAATAGTGGTAGTGTTGCATAAATTGCTACTACTACCGCTGCCAGTAGCGTCTTTCCACCACCTTCTGGGGGTTGGTAGTGTTAGCATATCATGAATTTGCAGCAAAAACCACGTCAAAACCACAGTTCTTTATTAAGGCCCATTTTGTTATATTTTATACCCCCTAATTGATGAGGTACACCCTATGGTAGGGATGTGGGGCGGTACCCCTAGCAGCACCCAGGTACAGCATGTTTTTTTTTTCAAAAACGGGCACCCGGCACCACCTGGCAGGTGAGGGCAGTGCTGGGTACCAACAAACAATCTCTAGACAAAATGAACTGATTTTGGTGTTTCTGAACAATCAGAACAACTTTTTGATGTTTCAAAAATTGTCAATAAACACCTTTGGCTTTAATTTTTTTTTTATAAATTCCTATTTTGAACCCCCGCCCATGTTGAGTGAGAGGGGTTCAGTACATCAACAGTCATTTATCCATCTGCTCCTTTCCTCTTTTTTTTCCAACTAATTTATCAATTTTTTGTTTTTGTTGTTGTCTTGTTCTATGAGAATTCCTATCTTTCTTTTTGACAATTTTTGTTTTCTCTCATGACTCTACAGCATCATGAAAGAAGTGCTGGTCAATACTGGTGCTGCCAATGATGAGCCATGCAACATGAGTGATGTTGGATTATGTACAAATAGATCCAAAACCTGAATGAACAGGTTGCAGTAAATTGTTTCTGGCGGTTCATGTATCAACACTGGGTTAACTCTGCAGCTCTGGGGCACCTTCTTGCCACCAGATACGGAAGCTTGCCTGCAGTTGCATATCAAAACTTGGAGATGATCTGAGTCTCTGTGGCTCAGGATCCAACTTTTAGATTGCTTTTTTCCCAGTTTGCCCAGTACCTGCTGGCATCAGATAAGAGATGCTGCTGCTTGCAAGACGGTGAAGAAGCCAGCTAGCAAGATGATGGTTTCTGTAGTGCAAGCGGGACTGCAAGCCAACAGTACATATTTTTATTTAACATCAAATCATCTCTTCTTGCCAAACATACCATAAGTATAAGTTACATTGGTCCTACCAAAGAAACATATATCAACGGTGGGCCAGCTACGCTAACCGTAGTCTTAGCGTAGCGTAGTGTAGCAAAAAATTGCTGCAATGTAGCGTAGCGTTAGCGCGTTTTTCAATTTCCGCTAGAGATTGTTTGTTCGGACCTAGGTACCTGTTTATACCCAGGTACCTGTTCATTTTATTCGAGAGAAAATAGATACCATGTACCACACC